TGGACACCGCTAACCCTCTTGAACACGTGCCCATATGACATGCGAGTCCCCAAAGGTCACGCCAGAGCCCGGCCACAACATCCTTTGCTTTTCCTTTGTTCCTTCCTCTTCCTTTTTTTCCTTTTGTTTTAGGCCAGAGCTACTTTGGTGCCAGGCTGGGAGGAGTGCCGTTGGCCGTCAGCCTCGCTCACCAGCAACCTCAACCAATCCTGGCGCAAGTCAACCCCTGCCTCTAGCTTCCGAGTAGCTGGACTACAGGCATGCGCCACCATGCGCCGGCTCATTTTTTCGGTATATATATTAAGTGTGGCCAATGAATTTCTTTATTTAATAGAGAGACGTCTCGCTCTGCTCAGGCTGGTTTCGACTCCTGAAACCCTCGAGCAATCCGCCCTCCTCGCCCCCCAGAGTGCTGGGATACAGCGCTTGACCACCGACGCCCGCCTCTTTTCTTTTTAACATGGGATCTCACCCTCTTGCCCAGGCCTGGAGTGTGTGCATGACTCATGACTCCACAGCCAAACCTCAAGTGACCTGGCTCAAGCGATCCTCCTGCCTCAGCGCTCCCAGTAGCTGGACTACAGGTGCACACCATGCCTGGCTAATTTTTTCTGTATATTTTTAATTGTCCAGCTAATTTCTTTCTATTTTGAGTAGAGAAGGGATCTCGCTCTTGCTCACGCTGATCTTGAACTGAACTCAAATGATCCTCCCTCCTCAACCTCCCAGAGTGCTAGGATTACAGGTGTGAGCCACCGTGCCCGGCCTTCCTTTATGGTCTTGATGCTTACAATGTGGCTCACGGATCAGCGGCCGTGGCACCTGGCAGCTTGTTAGAAATGCAGAATCCTGGGCCCCACCTTCATCCTCCTGAATTGGAATCTGCATTATAGCAAGCTCCCCAGGAGAACTGAGTGCATGTTTATCTTGGGCAGCCTAGGCTGCTATAACAAAGTACTGTACTCTGGGTGGCTTAAACAATAGACATTTATTTCTCATGGTTCTGGAGGCTGGGAAGTCCAAGATCACAGGGATGGCCTGTTTGCCTCCCTGGGAAGGGCTCTCTTCCTGGCTTGCAGATGGGCACCTCCTCATGGTGTCTTCACCTGGCAGAAAAAGAACCAGCTCTGGACTCTCTGCCTCTTCTTATAAGGACACTAATCCCATCCTGGGGCCTCATGCTTATAACCTCATCTAAACCTAATTACCTCTCAAAGGCCCCACCTCCAAATGCCATCACACTGGGGGTTAGGGCTTCAACATATGCATTTTTTTTTTTTTTTGTTTAAGGATAGAGTCCACTCTGGATTGTAGTGGTGCCATCACAGCTCACCGCAGCCTCAAACTTCTGGGCTCTAGTGATCCTCCAGAATTCTGGGAGGATACAAACATTCATTCCATAACCACAGTAAAGGTGAGAAACACTGCTTCAAGACAACAATCCTTGCTCTTCTACCTCAGGATATCCTGTGACCTCCTAGAGGTCTCTGGACCCAATGGCAGCCCTAAGCTAGCAGGACCCAGTAGCATCCAGTCAGCTGGGATCCATAGGGGAGCTGCCTGAGATGCCCTGGCTCTGCAAGAGAACTCTGTCCATCCCTCCAGGGAAGTGAGATTGTTCTAGGACGCTCTGACATTGCAAAGAAACTAGCCCGGGCCGGGCGCGGTGGCTCACGTCTGTAATCCCAGCACTCTGGGAGGCCGAGGCGGGCGGATTGCTCAAGGTCAGGAGTTCGAAACCAGCCTGAGCAAGAGCGAGACCCCGTCTCTACTATAAATAGAAAGAAATTAATTGGCCAACTAATATATATATAGAAAAAATTAGCCGGGCATGGTGGTGCATGCCTGTAGTCCCAGCTACTCGGGAGGCTGAGGCAGGAGGATCGCTTGAGCCCAGGAGTTGGAGGTTGCTGTGAGCGAGGCTGACGCCACGGCACTCTAGCCTGGGCAACAGAGTGAGACTCTGTCTCAAATAAAAATAATACTGTTAATTCTCTTTATTTGAAGCAGTCTCGCTCTGTCACCCGGGCTGGATTGTAGTGGTGCCATCATAGTTCACTGCAGCCTCAAACTTCTGGGCTCAAGTGATCCTCCTGCTTCAGCCTCCCAAGTCATTGAGAG